AGTTGCAGGAAACAACTTCTGTGGGCAAGAATGGGCTGCCGGGATGTTCATGCAGCAACAGTACTGGCCTTCCTCAGTGGAACAGCCTCAGTAGCTGGACTCCTTGCAGCAGTTCTGCTTCCAAACTGGAGGCAAATGAGACTGTACACATTCAACAAGAATGAGAGGAATGTGACCGTTTACACTGGACTATGGATTAAGTGCGCTCGCTTTGATGGGAGCAGAGACTGTGTGATATATGACCCACAGTGGTACACTGCTGTCGATCAACTGGATTTGCGTGTTCTTCAGTTTGCCCTTCCACTGAGTATGTTAACTGCTGTCTCTGCTCTGTTTCTCTGCTTGATTGGCATGTGTAACACAGCCTTTGTATCAAGCGTGCCAAACATCAAATTGGCCAAATGCCTTGTAAACAGTGCAGGCTGCCATCTCGTGGCTGGCCTCTTGTTCCTGCTTGCGTGTGCCATTTGTCTCACTCCGTCAATCTGGGTCATTTTTTATAACAATTATCTGAACAGAAAGTATGAGCCTGTCTTTAGTTTTGACATCTCTGTATTTATTGCCATTGCCAGCGCTGGCGGTCTGTTTTTCACTTCCGTTCTGCTGTTTCTGTGGTACTGCGCATGTAAAAGCCTACCTTCTCCTTTCTGGCAGCCCCTCTATTCCCATGCCCCGAGCATGCACAGCTATGCCTCTCAGCCGTATTCTGCACGCTCTCGCCTCTCTGCCATAGAAATTGACATTCCTGTTGTGACACATGCATCTTAAGAAGACAAAGTCTTGGAAGCCAAGTTCTTGTGCTCATTCAGACCCTGAAAATTGCAGGCTTGACTCTCTCTGCTGCCTTGCGCTCAGCATAATAATTTGTAAGGTTGAGTTTCCCAAGGTGCAAAGCAATGGAGACCCGAGTTCAGCAAGTCCGTTGCTGTTCTCGTCTGTTACTTTCTGACCAACGTTTTGTTATTTTTTTTTTAACTCTCAGCTCACTACAGACAAAATTGCTGCTAATGCTGGGACAGTACACTAACAATAGCATCCGTTCATCCTTCTGCTTACTGAGATCAAGGCAGGTTTGAACCTCTTTGCTATTTGATAAGCTATTATTTGATTCTGATCCCATTGTAAGAGCTACATAGGTGGACCCTTGCACCCATGCATTATCCAAATGCAGGCAGTGGAAATGCGGGCAGGGGGTTCACTGAGTTTCTTGTTCAGCTAGACATACATATTTTAAGATGTGATGTCTGAAAAGGGTATCTGGCAGACTAATTCAGATCTGTAGCACTGTTCTTTGTTTTCCCCTGCACACACAAAAAGCTACCCGCTTACGAACTTCTGTAATAGAATTAGTGTCAAATTACCCTTTATTTTCAAAGTAGCTATCAGAAGAAATAAAACTGATTTAACTAATAATGTTCTTCTGTATTGTAATAGCGTTTTGTGGATTACTGGAGGCTAGAAACTTTTTTGTGAACTTTATTTCTAGTCTGTTTTTTAATAAGTTAGCAAATTCACTAGATCTATTTTGTGATTAAAACAAAAACCACTCGTATTTAAAAATTCTGTTTAGAAGGTTGAATATTGTATTTGAAGGCCATCTTAAAGATGGATTTTCAAGTAGGCTTTAAAGTATTATTCAGTTCTGGAGAGAAGTGTCATTTGCTGCAAAATGGATTGGGAAAACCATGAGGAATTCTGAAGGCTATGAAAGATTCTTTTGGAACACTGTACACAAGCTATAACACATCTCTCTAGGAAGGGCATTATAACCCTGGGGAAAGATTTTTAAATCTAGATTTATTTTTTTTTCAATGTATATACAAGTAACGATGAGCTTGTGTATTTTTCAGAGTTGATCTTTATGGTTGTTGGACTTTTCATGCTGTAGCTTATTTAATTACTGATGAAGACTTCCTGAACAAGACTTCAGCCTTGTTCTTCAACACCTTTCAAGTTGAGCTGTTTTAAAATCCAGTTATTTCCTATGCTGCCACCTCACAACTGGAGAAAGTTTCCCATTCCTATTTTCTGTAAGATGAGGTTTTGAATAACTTGTGAGCTTCACCTTGTAGCTCTACAAGGATGAGGAGGGATTATAAATTCCCAACCTGGGGTGTCTTTAAATCATTTTTTTCCTTCTAAAATGCAGAGCGGGTCAGCCCTAAGGGTCAAAGCTTTTCAATATGGGCTTTGAAATTACTTGGAAATTTGATGACAGTGAGTTGAAGAGTGTTATAATTAAGGCAAGTATCTGATTTGCTCCGATTTTGGCAAATTGTGATCTTGTGTTTAAGATGTCATTCCAGTAAGGAAAGTTATTTTGATTGGTGGCATTCTGGAGCTTAGCGGATATTTGTATTTCATTAATCCCAGAACAAGTTTGCTTTGCTAAAAAATCAAATAGAGTTCTTTAATTCCAGTTCTGTAAACTCATCCGAGGTCTTGGAAGTTAGTTCGTTCCCTTTTCCATGCATTAGAAATAGGAACAAATGCTGTGCTGGGCAAATCTTGTTCTGTTACAGTCTGTGCGATAACAGTATATTAAGAGGAGTCATTGTGTTTTAACTGGTAGACCTTGGACTTCAGTGGACTGACCGAGGAGGCTGATCTCTGTCATAAATTCCCAGCATAGTCAGTAAAGTGACAGGCCTTTCAGACAGAGTGCCTGATTAAATTGCAGTCTAAGGAATTAACAGTGTAGATGATAAAGAATATTTAAGGAGATAGGCCTCTAAAGTTACATGAATTTAATACCCTTAGGTTTACAAGGTATGATGTTAGATGAAGTATCTTTTTTTTTTCTTTTAATGAGCTCGTGACTTGTATGGTATTAGAACACGTATAATGACATGCAAGCCAGCTTTTTTTCCTTCAAAATTGAACTTGGCTTTACCGTCACTCTGGTTGTCCAACCTTAAATACTGTTGCTGCTTCAGCTGCCCATATCCTTACATACCTTTGTCAGGTCAAAGCAAAGGGACAACTGGTTTGTGATTTCACGTCAGCTTGCTTCCCCATCACTCCCAGTGTCTTTTCTTCTTTGTGCCTTGCTTAAGTTATGAGTTGGCCAGTAAATGTTGGTTTACAGTCAGCGTCTGGTATGCTTTTTGAGCCTGAATTTACAAAGCATTTTGATCATTTGGGAGGGATGATGACTACATCTCTCGGTGACTTTAAAAGGAGCTGAATCTTCAGTATCTCCAGAGCAAGAAAGGCAGCCTGGCAAACTGATGTTTCCTGTAGAGAGTAAATGCAGCCAGTGTTTTGTTCTGTACACTTTAAATAGCAGATGTCTCTGACAGCTCTTTTGTATTCTGACTTTGATTTTTATGCACTAAACTTTCAATCAGTATTTGCTGCTGCCTAAGCTGATAACTTGTTGCTTTGAAAATTGTGTCTTTCCAAAAGTCTGAGGTGGGTCTGAGTTACGAAAAGCAGGAATCCAAAAGTTAGTGGATTCCAGCGTAGGTTTCAGTTAAGGTCATCTTTATCAGAAAGACTGTTGCATCATGTTGTATCACCGAAGCACGGCTGGGTTTCTTTCAACAGTGCTGTTAATGTGAATTTCTGCTGGATCCTAAGTGAAATTAACTGGAAGTGCTCTGCTGTATTTCTCCTTTACAGAAAGAGGTGGCTGACCTGTGACACTTGAGCTGAGTGCCACTCCAGCATTTCTCTTGCTAAGGTTACCATCGTGCCCAGCGGCAGCGCTGGGGAGTGACAGGCCTCCCTGGATTTGGAGAGAAGAACGCATGTGTCCTGCATGTATCTCTGCCAGGGAACAGCCGCTGTGGAGCAGTTAGCACCCCTGCCTCTGACCAGCTGCTCCTTCCTGGGCACGTTGCTGTGTACAGGACAGGCACTCTGGGCCTTGAACACAGGAAGATTTTAATTTGTGGCTCATGCAGTCAAAGGTTGGGTGCTCTGGGATTACGGGAATCTGTATTTTTTTCAAGTAATTCCTGTCCAACTTCTTACATTGTGTTTAATTACAGTGTTGGTTCTTTTTATGTGAAACAGAAGATATGTATTTTTAATAAAACATTCTCATACAGATCCAGTTTATTTTGATTAATTTTGTGGAAAACAGTAACTGCTAGAATATGAAAGACTTTACCTGTTTTGGTATTTGTCATGGTTTAACCTCAGTCGGCAACTGAGCACCACGCAGCCACTTGCTCACTCCCCCCTGCCCCGGTGGGATGGGGGAGAGAATCGGAAGGGTAGAAGTGAGTAAACTCGTGGGTTGAGATAAACAGTTTAATAATTGAAATAAAATAAAATCCTAATAATAATAGTAATAATAAGAAGAATAGACAAAGCAAGTAATGCACAATGCAATGCCCAGCCAGTCCCCGAGCAGCGGCCCCCCCGGCCAGCTTCCCCCAGTTTATGTACTGAGCATGATGTCACATGGTATGGAATGTCCCTTTGGCCAGTTTGGCTGTGCCCCCTCCCAGCTTCTTGTGCACTTGCAGCCTTCTCAGTCGGTAGAGCATGGGAAACTAGAAAGTCCTTGGCCGGTGTAAGCATGACCTAGCAACAACTAAAACATCGGTGCCTTATCAATTTTGTTCCCATCCTAAATCCAAAACACAGCACTGTACCAGCTACTAGGAAGGAAATTAACTCTATCCCTGCCAAAACCAGGACAATACTGATCTCCAGACTGTTTCAGATGCCTTAACAGACTTAAAAGGTTGTGTATACTGCATTTTAACTCCTTAATTTTATAGGAGTCCTGCTTTAAACAAAACCAAACCAAAAAACCCAAACCCAGCCCTTCTGCTACCTTCTGAAATCTTGACTGTTATTTATAATTTCCCTTTATTTTTATTGTAAGCTAATCCTAAGAAGTTCTAGGATTCTTCTTCCCTTTAAAAGGAGGAGAGTGATTTCCCCTAATCTGGAGGTTTTCCTTTCTCTGCCTGTGGCCAGGGTGTGGGCTGGGGGCCAGGATCTGGTTCAGTCCCACAGCAGACCCAAAGTATCAGCGTGACATGGAAAAGAGTGCAGTCCTCACCCTGCGCCCAAACCCTGCCTCTTTCCCCGTGTCGGTTCTGCCGCTCGCTCAGCCATTGCTTAACCAGCGCGACTTGCTAACCCAGCTGAAATCTTCCGTGCTGGGTTAGTTTTTTCCTAGACTGGTAAGATTTGCATTGTGTTAGTGTCACACAAGAAAGGCGGTGGTGGCATTAGCCATCCTTCTGCCCTCTCCCCTCTGCTGTGCCGGCTGCGCTGTCAGCTGGAGAATATGCTACCGCCTCCTCACGTGCAGAAGTCATTTGGGCATCCCAGCGACTTGTGACAGTCCAGAACATGGTAATGGTTAGCGATGCTGCGTTTCTGTTGCGTGCTGCTCCTGGCAACTACAGCTCCGCAGCATTATGGCGACTCAGTACTGAGCCTTTCCCCGTTGTTACGGGGCAAAATACAAACCCTCTGACCATTAGAAATGCTGATGCCATAGCGCCAGTTCACAAAACAACCTGGATTACTTATGCAGACTATAATGAGACTTGCTGGTAATTCCTCTGTAGATTTCTAGTATTCTAAACTGGCATTCTAGTAAGTCGGGTTTTTATCTGTTTGGGGAAGTAATGTTTGTATGAGAACAATTCTCATGGAGCATGCACAGTATAAAGTAATTGTTGCCAGCCCTACAACTCACTTGAGGGGGTGGAAAAACGGTTTTATATTCTCACTTCTGTGGGTTCATTTCCTCCTTTGCTGTCACTTTCAGACAGGCCTTCTGTCTCTGAGAACTGGTATAAACCTAGGGGCTAGTTGGGTGTTGACATAAATACGGGGATGCAGAGAACTCAGTTTCTCCCAAAACATGGGAGTGCCTCATTTTTTTCATATTAAAATTCCTAAAAACCTACCCCACATATTTATGCTCATTGAAAACAAATCTCTTGGCGGATTTTCCCCTGTTTTATTTCACAGGA